GGTAAGGTTCTAACCCCTAATCTTCAATTTCGAGTTTGGGTAATGATGGGTGATTAAGAGTATGATTCTTGGGTGTAAGAGTATTATTTATACGTATGAATAAGGTTTATGGAAAGAGTCTTGAGTTCAAATGGGTAAAGATTGGGTTGAAAATGGTAGAAATCTTCAAAGATTTCAATTGAAGATTTGAGGGTCGAGTTGATGACGGAATTTGGTGAAATTTGTATGGATGGACTCATGGTTGGATGGGCGTTAATATTTTGTAACTTTCGTCGGATTCCGATACGTAGGCCCCACAGATAATTTTTGAGTGTAAATTCAGACTTTTGTAGAAAAATTAGTATTTTGATATGGAATAAATTCCAATAATTTAGGTTGACTGAATCAAATTAATTGTGACTAGATTCGAGCCATTAGGAAGTTGTTATGCGCAGAATGGACTTTCTGGAAGCATTGTTTAACTTGCTCGATATTGGATTCGGCTTGTTCGAGGTAAGTAACTCTTCTAATCTTGGAGCTGAGGGTATAAACCCTGAATATACATATTATGTGAATTGTTTGGAGGTGACGCACATGCTAGGTGATGGGTGTGTGGGCGTGCACCGTAGGAATTGTGACTTGGTCAAATTTCATGGGACTGTATAGTTGAATAATCTGTTGATATCCGTACATTCTCTACGTGTTAGAGAAAATTGAGCTGAGACTCGTATTAAAAATCATGCTTAGGCATATGTTGTTATTGTTGGTACCCATTGGGATCATTTTTGTGGTTGAATAATATGTTCAAATTGTAATTTTTTACTCAGTCATGTTTATTCATTTCATATCATACCTCAGTCTCTCTTATTTATTGTTGATGCATCATATCATTGTTGTTGGGCTGCTTATCATGATTTCTGAGAGCCCGAGAGACTGGAGAGGTTGATGACTGAGTGAGACCGAGGGCCTGATTGTGAGGATATTTTTGGGATCGGGCTGCACGCCGCAGCAGGCCATGTTGGCTTTACATATATTATTACTATTATATGGATCGGGGTTGCCCGTCTGCAGCAGGCCTTATTGGCTTATTATGGCACGTGAGTTGTCCGTGCAGCACGTGAGTTGTCCGTGCAGATTATAGCGCTTGGGCTGAAGGAGCCCTTCCGGAGTCTGTACACAGCCCCAGTGAGCGCAGGTACCTACTGAGTGCGAGTGCCAAGTGCCGGGTGATGAATGACTGGGAGGTATGAGTGATTGTAAGGTATGCCCGATGGGCTGTTTACGAGTGATTGTGAGGTATGCCTGAGGGGCTGTTTACGAGTGATTGTGAGGTAAGCCCAAGGGGTTGTTTATGATTTTATCTTTGAGTTGCATCGCATTGGCATGCACACATGACATACAGGCATAGAGATGTATTTTCTCATATTGTACTACATCACATCATTCATGATTTTTCATACATTTTTGATAGATGGGCATAGTGATGCATTTGTTTTTACACGGGTTATCCGGAAGGAAAATAAAACATCTTATTTATTATTGATAAGATTTTGGGAGAAATTTATTGTTTTCAAACTATTCATATTTTTGGCAACTCCGGCAAAAGATTTGAGTTTTCACTGATGGATTTGAAAGGAAGAACTATTATTTTTGAAATCATGATTTGGCTGAGCATTTTATCTTTGAGTTACTTCTGGTATTATTTGCTTTATGTTGTTATGGACTGTTGTGGACTATTGATTTTGGACCCGACCTTGGTGGAAGCTCAGCACTACTTTCAACCTAAGGTTAGGTTTGTTACTTACTCAGTACATAGGGTTAGTTGTACTGATACTACACTTCTACACATTGCGTGCACATGTTGGCTGTTGTTGTTGCTGTGCTCGATGGTTGCCGGATTTGAAGATGTACATGCGTTCTTATGGTAGCTGCCTCTTGTTCATGGTAGCTTTAGATTATAAAAACTCTGTTTATGTACTTTTCAAACCGAAGATGTACTTACTTCATATCAGCTTTGTAAATTCTATTCTTAGAAGCTCATGATTTGTACTATCAATCCTTGGGGAGTGTATTATAGTCAGTTAATTATTAATTGAATCAGATTGTGTTATTTGGCTTACCTAGCAGGTGAGGTTAGGTGCCATCACGACTAGTTGGATTTTGGGTCGTGACAGTTGGACTCGTCTCGGAATGGGTGTTCGGATTTCGTAAGTTTTTCCGAGATTCAAGACGTGGGCCCCACTGTCAATTTTTAAAGTGAATTTTGAATTTTATCCGGAAAATTAGTAAATTCACATGGAATTAATTACTATGATTCGTATTGAGTATATCGAATTATATGTGAATAGATTTGAAGTTTTTGGAGACAAATTTAAAAGAAAAAGTTGTGGTCGAGTAATTGATTGATATTGCAAAGCGAGATAAGTATCGTGGTTAACCTTGATTTGAGGGAATAGAACCCTTAAATTATTTGTTATGTGAAATGCATGTGAACGACGTATAGGCGAGGTGACGAGTGTCTATACGTCGTCAAATTAATTATTTGCATAATTATTTGAAAATCCTAAATTTATTTTAATTCATGAATTAATTATTATGATAATTGTTTCTCTTCTATTCTTTGTCAAATATTAATTCTTGAATTCCTACAATAATTGCTACATGCTGATTTGATTTATGTGCATTAATTGCTACTTGATATTTAGCATATTAAATAGTACTGCTTATTTTCTCCCTGATTTTCATAATAAATTGCTATTTGTCATTGTTTGTTTCATAATTAAATCATAATTTTGGTATGCTTGTTGTCTTAAAAATTTTATATTAATTGTTGTATTTATTGGGGCAAATTTCTTCTGTAAGATTTGGTAAGTGGATATATTGGGGGATCGGGTTGCACGCCGCAACAGACTTATTAAAAGTTCATATTGGGGGATCGGGTTGCACGCCGCAACAGACTTATTTAAAAGTCTATATATACTTGATTAAAATAAATATATGGGAGGATTGAAAATGAATATGTTGTGGGAGCGGGTTGCACGCTGTAACGGAAATTGATTGAAATAATAATTGGTTATGACTGCTGAGTTGGCTTCAACTATTAGAAATGAGTAACCTGATTTAATTCTATTATTGTGGTTATTACTATTATTGCGTACATGTTAATATAAGTGACCTGCCTTAGCCTCGTCACTACTTCGTCGAGGTTAGGCTCAGCACTTACCAGTACATGGGGTCGGTTGTACTGATATTACACTCTGCAGTTCTTGTGCAGATTTCTGAGTTGGTCCCAGCGGCGTACCATAGACTTGCTCGGATTTCAGCTACCAGAGGAGACTTGAGGTATAACTGCACGGCGTCCGCAGTTCTGAAGTCCCCGTCTATTTTACTTTAGCTGTGTGTTTGTTTTCAGGCAGCTTTATTTTATTGAGACCTTTATTTGTATTATTCTAGAAGCTCGTGCACTTGTGATACCAATTCTAGGATGATATTTAGACACCGTTATTTTTTATGGATTATTCACTACATTTCAGGCTTTACTTCCGCATTTGTTTCTATTATTAATAATAAATTTAAAAATTATTTTAAAATAGATAATATTATTCTAACGTTGGCTTGCCTAGCAAGTGAAATGTTAGGCGCTATCACGGTCCCGAAAGTAGAAATTTCGGGCCGTGACACGGATCCACTTCAAAGGTATGTACATTGCGCGTGTAACTAGAATGAGTAAAAAGTTTTACAAATCATATTATCACATGTACATTAACCAAAAAAAAAAACGAGAAAAAATAGTCTAAACATGCCTTGAGAGTCCAATTACCTTGAAGATCTCGCATTCAACCTCCAAACAAGATGATATATGCTGTTTAGATGACTTCCAATTCTAATAAAGCACAATCACTCTTTTTTCTAAACATATGTAAGTAATATCACTAATTAATTTGGCAATCGAATTATCTCTAAAACCAAGAAAATAAATCATGAAATGATAAAGAAAATGGATTTCCCTCATCCTTTTGTGAACAAAAGTCCAGTAGAGCTAAAGAGGAAAAATGAACTATTTTTCTCTCTTGGGGCAGTAATATTCCCAGTTAAAATATATTCTCAATTGAAATATTTCATGAATTTAGATGGGAATAAAATAAAGGCAGAATTGATGATTAGGTGGAACACTAAAAATACCGACAGTTCCATAGAGTACCAGATACATTCTCCCAAAGTGGTTTTGACGTGATGCTTAGAATTCTGAAAAATAAACGTAGTCATTATGGAAGTCATTAACTGAAAGTAGCTCGAATTATGTCTACTTATTTATCCACTCATTTATTGTGGTACAAATTAATTTTTTGTTGGAATGTACATTTGCCTTTTAGTACAAGGATATTGTAGGAGTAAAACTCAAAGGAAGAGCAAAATGGGAGTTCAATTTTCTATGGGCATTTAGGTAATTCAACTTTTAGCTGTAGGGGCTTCCTACTTTTAATATAATACGATTAATATGGTGCATATACTTTTTTGAGCCAAGGGTCTTGTTGTTGTAATTCAAAAGAATAAAGTATATATGGTATCTGAAACTCAAACTAATCAAAAATAATTTCTGAAACCAAAATCAAAAGCAAGTTTTCATCCTCCAACATATCACTTCTAAGTTCCAAATTCAATCCGAAAACACAACTTATCCCCAAATTTATATTTGAAAAAATTAAGTCCAAATTCAATCCGAAAACACAACTTATCCCCAAATTTATATTTGAAAAAATTAAGGCAAAACCAAATCCAATGTTTAGAGTTTTGACCAAATGTTTTGAGGTTGACTTTTGGAACCCAAATGTAGCCATGCATTGAGGAACAAGGCATGTTAAAACAGCCAAGTGGCCATGTATGCATGCTAGACTCAAGGGGGCCAAAATCATATCTTATACATTACTTAATTTCACTCTCAAGTTTTACCCTAACATACAAGACCATTATAAAAAAACATGCATGCCAAGATCAAATCACTATAAATTTGAGAATAACTTCCTACATTAATCTTCCTAGTTCAATCTGCAGAAATGGCTCAAACCAGTTTCTGCCTTCTCGCCGCCGTCCTCCTCCTCCTTCTGGTGGTTTTGGCCGAGGGAGGACCTCCTAAACCTATGAAAGTGAAATGCCAAGACAGGAAATTCCCCAGTTGTTATCACAAAGACCTTTTCTGCCCTATCACTTGCCCACGTACATGTATAGCTGACTGTGACTCATGTCAACCTGTTTGTGTTCCACCACCACTTCCACCACCAAAACCTCGTTCACCTAAGAAAGTGAAATGCCAAGACAAGAAATTCCCTAGTTGTTATCACAAAAGCTTTGCCTGCCCTGTCAACTGCGCACGTACATGTGTAGCTGATTGTGTCTCATGTCAACCTGTTTGTCCTGTTACAACACCACTTCCACCACTATCTCCTCCATTGATTCCGTCGCCGCCTTCTACCCCAAATTCACCACCACCTCCACCACTAGCTCCACCATTGACTCCGTCGCCTCCTTCTACTCCTAACTCACCACCACCTCCACCATTGACTCCGTCGCCTCCTCCTACCCCTAACTCTCCACCACTTCCACCAGTACTAGCTCCACCATTGGCTCCGACTCCTCCTCCTACCCCTAACTCACCACCACCACCAGATCAAGATGCAGGTGGAAAGAGAGTTTATTGCAAGAATAAGTTGTACCCTCAATGCTACCGCCAGGAGTATCAATGTCCTAGTGATTGTCCCGATACTTGTGAAGTTGATTGTGTCACTTGTAGCCCTGTTTGCAGTAAGATCCTTTTCTCCATTAAGAACTACTACTAGTAATTTCTCTTGTCTATTGAATAGTACTCCTTTTTTCCATTTTAAATGACATATTTTCATGTGTAATCCGTTCCAAAAAGATTGACACCTTTATGTATTTAGAAATATTCTTTAACGTCAAACTTCTCGTTTTGTCCTTAGTGACATGCTCTTATAGTCATATAAATGTCATGCATGCTATAACACCCATATAAGCTCTACTAGTATATGATATGTGATCATGTTAATAACCATCTTTTTTCCAACTGCCAAATCCAATATCTGTAATGCATATTAATAATACTTTCTTAGGTTAATTCCTATCTAATATATATTAACCGTGAAGCTGGTGCAATTAATTTGAACGATTCTAAGTCATTTAGGTCTAACTTTTTCTTTTCATAGATGAAATAGAACGGAAATATGAATTTAACTAAGAAGCTGTTATGTTAAGAAATGCTTGGAAATAGTTAAGATTTGTGTAATAACATCTGTTCATTGGCCATTAAGTTTTATATATTGTTGGTAATAATTTCTAGTTCCGGAGGATATTAATTAGAAATGAGTCATCTGGACATGACTTTAACCTTGAATTTTGAACATTGTCATGAGCAGACTGCAATAAGCCAGGGGCTGTTTGCCAAGATCCAAGGTTCATAGGAGCAGATGGACTTACATTCTACTTCCATGGCAAAAAAGATCATGATTTTTGCTTAGTGACCGATTCCAATCTTCACATCAACGCTCATTTCATCGGTAGGAGAAATGAAAACATGAAGAGAGATTTCACTTGGGTACAATCTCTTGGTATTCTTTTCAACAACCATCAACTTTTTATTGGTGCCAAGAAAACATCAACCTGGAACGATGCAGTTGATCGCCTAGACTTAACCTTTGATGGACAACAAATATTTCTTCCTGATCGTGAAGGAGCCAAGTGGGAACCAATATCAGCTCGAGGAGTTTCAATTTCAAGAATCCGCGATACTAATTCTGTTGTGATTGAAGTGGAAGGGAATTTCCAGATAAAAGCTAGAGTGGTACCAATTACTGAAACAGATTCAAGAATTCATAATTATGGTATCACAGAGGAAAATTGCTTTGCTCATTTAGATTTGAGCTTCAAGTTTTACTCATTGAGTGGTAGGGTAAATGGAGTTTTGGGACAGACTTATGCAAGTAATTATGTGAGCAGAGTGCAGATGGGAATTGAAATGCCTGTTTTGGGTGGGGAGAAAGAATTTTCCTCCTCAGATCTTTTCTCAACTGATTGTGCTGTTTCAAGATTTAGTGGCACTCAAATTGATGATAGCGCCACAGAAGAGTTTGATCAGTATGCTGACTTGAAGTGTGCAAGTGGTATGGATGGAAAAGGAGTTGTGTGCAAGAGATGAATAATATTGTCGTTAGTTTCATTATCCTTATGATGTCGCATAATTAGATAACTTCATTGTTGTTGTCAAACCACAATAACTAAAGATACCAAATACTATTACATTATTTTAACGAAATTAAGGAATAAGATTATGATCTATTGTAATAAAGCTGCACTGAATTATATGAGTAATAAAAGCATAAGTACTACTTGTTTACTACACCTGTATTAAGGCACTGCATAGCGGTAAACAAATAATTAAACTGACATATATATATATGTCATGAATAACTAATTAAACTAATATATATATATATATATATAAGCCAGTCAAAAGCAACCACATGAATAACTATTACAATCTATTCATAACCATATAACTACACTCCTAGGTTATACCGAACCAAACAACCAACTCAGGGTCAATCCTGGTGGCTCGACTTTAATAAAAAAACTAGGGGAACATAATACTCCGTACATTAATAAATACCAGTATATAAATACTATTAACAAAAGCCATCCAAATTTCTGTGTCTACATAGGGAAATCAAACGAATAAACGAATAATATATGTAGAAGACAATGAATCTTAAATCAATTGCTCTGTTGTTGGGACCTGAAAATCTATAAACAAGCAAAACAATAGGAACAGATCTACACAAACTGTTCCCTCCAATAAATGCTTACCGCCGCCTCAGATTTCTACCCTTCTGAAAGCAACTTGCTGAAATGAAGTAAACAAAGATCCAAACTTTTTACTATACAAGAAAATTGCCAGTCCTTAAATATTCCCAAGATATCTATAACCCTTGGCTTGAGATTCTTCTTGGTCAATCTGATTCATATCAGATCCAAAACATCGGCCAAGATCGATCTCCAATCAAGAAGCTACATTCCTTGATCACAACTTCCAATCAATCACAGTTTCTTAGGCAAGTTGTAAGTCTTTTTAAGGAACTTGGAAGCAGCTTCATCATTTCGGTAGCACAAGACACGTAAAAGGGTGTTTGGTTCAGTTGGGTTCCATTGCCCTGATGTAGGGGGCAAGGGAAGCCTTGACTTTGCGGATGAACCATAAGTTTCCAAAGTTGATCGCCTGAAGCGCTCGATGAGGCTCTCTGCATCAGCTCGGAAAAGAGGAAGTACATCCCTAACTGTTGTTGAGTATTTGTTTATCACATCCACGGGCAATCCGTCCCCATTTGCCCAGAATACATCTTTGAGAGACTTGAAATCGTCCTCTATAATTTGTGAATCCTGCAGAGTGAAAGCCCTAGAAGGTCCTCCGGCAAGCAAAACCAAAAGGAAACCATCAAAGGATGCTCTCATTATGTCTGCAACCATCCGAGTCCGGACTCTTTCATTAACAGTGTTTGATATGATTGTCAGATTCTTCTCGAGTTCTAGAAGGAAAGGCTCAATGCGCGAAGAAGATGGCTCCCCAATATACAGACCATCCCATAAAACAGGACTTAGATCATGAAAGATAATCCTATACGCGACTGCCTCAGAGAGTTGTTGGATCCCCTCGATACAAGCAGCAGGTGAGATTTCAAACTTCTTACCTAACCCATTTGAAAAGTCTTCTACATGAGCAGATTCAGAATTCCTCAAAAGGGTAATAATTCTCTTCTCAAGAACTTCTAGCTCAGTCCGAATTCTGTGGAAAGTATTTATACGTACACACAACTGCAGCACCCCAAATGAGTTATCACCATTCACCGTAGCAACCTGCGAGTTCCTCTTTGTATTAAGTGTCTTATCCTTCTTCTTCCACAACTTTGTAGCAGTGGTACACCTGGTTAGTGCAGGCATGGTTGGAACATATGTGTTCCTTGATCCTACAAATAACACCACTCATTAATGGACATGTTAGGCTATAAAAACTGTGGTCTTTCTATTCATAATAAGATCCAGAAAATTACCACATCCAGACTTTGCCTTTGATACGTAATACTGAAGACATCTATCGAGGCCACTCATCAAGTCCGGGAGCAATGCTGGATGCATTGGTATTGGCAGCTGGAAGAATGAGTCTAAAGTTTCATCAATAATCCTCAGGACTTCAACAGCAGAGGGGGCAAATCCTCCTTCATTAGCTTGAGGATTCCAGACCTTTTTATCACAGAAACAAGATAAGAATGTAAACCAAAGATATAAGATAAGCATAGTTAAAAACAAAATTTAATCAGCAAATTCTACAATCTAAAGGCAGGATTGTAGTGTCAGCCAATAAATAAATGATCTTCTCTGTTGATCAGGAGCAGATGTTATAACAGTGCGGAGTTGGGAAGAACAAGTTCGTATAGGGCCCATGAGATGAAGACCTCAGTTTCCTACAGGTCTGCAGCTATCTTTAATCTAAGGTATCAAGTCTAAAAAGTCTCTTGGGGCTTGTATGTGGTTTACTTAACCTCCTCAAGCAAGGAAAAGTCTGCTCAGAATAATTATCTCATCTTTAAAGCCCAAAATCATGTAATAGGAGGGTTCTGGAAGTGATTTTTCGAGTCTTTTTCTAAGTATATGGTGTCGCTCCATGGTTTCAACTTGTATATACTCTTGGTTCTTACCACAAATCATCAAATTCAGCTGCTGAGGGGTTTGAGCAAGGGAAATGCTATGAGCCTATGATAGAGACAAAAGTTGCCTTCTAACCAAAGCAGATATAAAATAGTTGCTTCCATCTTGTGTGTGGGAAGTTGAAAGCAAATATCAACTGATGAGTCCATACCTCTTGTTGGAGATTCCTGTCAACCCACTCCTTGAGTCTGTCTATTCTTGTCTTGATCCAATCTTTCACCATGTTGCCTATGGCACCTTCAGCTTCAAATGGTGGCATCTCACGGATAATGGCCTTCCCACCATCATCACTGTCCACTGAATCTTCAACAGCAATCTGCACAAGATCTTTCTCCAATTTATCTGCTGCTCTCAGTACTTGTACAGCATCTGGTGTCAATTCCGTTATACCCGAAACAAATTGTTTCAGCTCATTCCCATAGCAAACATGTAGGGTGGCAACAGCCACACCTGCAGCAAAAGGATGCCATCTCTTCAAGATGGGACTAAAAATCTCGTTCTCTTTAGAAGCCAGCTCACCAACATCCTTCGCGAGGATGGCAAGGACAGGAAGAGGATTTGGTTGGTGTCTTGATGCTCTCCTGCTTGAATCCGCCTTCTCCATTAACTGCAATCAAGAAACCAAATTCTAGTTTTAAATTTCACTCTATTCAGATGGTTCATTACATTAACATGTCAGGCTGGGCTTTTATTTTAAGCTAGGCAACAAGGAACTGCACAAAGCACTCACTGCCCTTTCTATAAATATATGGTCACAGAAGGAAATCATTACGAATATACCAAAAATATGAGAATTGTGGCAAAACTTACAGGGAACTAAAACTTCGTACAAGTTTGAGATAGGCTGGTGAAAATTGAAGAAGGATACCAGCCTATGCCCGAAATATGAGAATTCTGGAGAAACTTATAGGAAAGGAAACTTCATACAAGTTTGAGACATGTTCGCAGGGTTTAGCCACTGAAGTATAGGTTTCATGAAAGTGAGACACGGGAAGGCTGGAAATATAACACTACATATCACAGATATGTAAAGAGAGCAGACAAGGAATAGTAAGTGTCCAAACTGATAAAGCTACACTAAGTGTCAACTAAGGCAGTAGGAAGGAATATGACCACGGTAGAAAGTATATCACATTAATCAGAGCGAAAGTAGAATCAGATTGGAAACAACCCAAACAAAAATTGGAGCAATCTAAGATTGATGCAGTATTTTCTGATAAAGGAGATAGATGCAGTATTTTACCCACATTCACATTGATAGACATGCTTTGAGGGATAACAACACTTATACTTCTGTTTGAAAAACGCTTTCCCATAATTTTAAATGTTAAAAATATGCCAGACAAAAAAGGTAAAAAAAATTATGAATCCACACCTTATAATCCTAATTTGTCGATTTAGCATACACTATTAACGTAACTTCGTGAAAGCAGTTAGTCAAAAGGTGGTTCTTATTAAAAAAGTCAACAACGATAATTTTGTCTAAAAGAAATCAAGCCTAATAACTGTTATGTTGCCATTAAAAGTTATAGAAGATGGAACTTGCCTGAGCGAATGCAGTGCGAAGTGATGACCTGATGTAAGTGTCAATTCTACTCCGAGCCACATCAACTTCACCCTTACGCCGCCGACGATACTCATTAGAAATATCTTCGACAAGAATTTTTGCTGCAGATACCCCTATAGATACAATGGTTGGCATTGATTCAATATTTCCGGCATCAAAAGTGTCATGGTAAGCAAGGAGCCTTTTCTCAGCCCAGCCCAACATTGCTGTTAATGTAGAATTCAGAATCTTAGCATATGCAGGATCTTTTGTCGTCTTTGCATCTTTTGCGACTTCAGCTAGCTGACTATCAGCAGCATCTAACAGATCATTCTCCGCTTGTCCAGTTGCAACATAACGATTAAATAAAACCCACGAAAAGCAAATATTGTGAAGCATTTGATTAAGTCCGAGGATTCCCCAAGTTTTCTTTATGAGATCCATAAGTTCATCAACTTCCTCTATGATGGACGCTTCATCATTTACATCAAAGCATGCCTCCAGAAGTATCTCATAGAGTCTGAGATTCAAAGGGAAACCGTCAGCCCAGTGGCATGACTCAAATAGAGATCCATCTGATGATCTATTAGCAAGAGCCATTACAGCTGTACGGAGAACTTGCATTGACTCATTGTTTCTCCCTGTTTCTATTGGACGGTCTAAGGCAGCTTGAATAATTTGCCGCAGCCTCTGCGCAGCAGTATTCGACTTATCCAGCGGCATGTGTGGATGTAAAAGAAGTCCAGCCTCGAGCATTTTTAGATTTCTTTTCTGCCACGCATCGTACTCTCTCTGATCAGTAAAATCTGCAGCTTTGAACTGCTGTAAGAGCTCCAGTGGGAGAACTGTTGACTCAATTCTTCTTCCAACCTGTATCACGCACATTGAAGCATGACTTACTACAGCAAATTGCAACAATTAACCATTCACTCAGCAGTAATAAATCTTCAACGCTCATGAGGTAAGTGCGGAATATTTTACACCAAAATCTTTTTGTTGGAAAGAACAAAGTAAAAGTAAGTCAATAATTTTAAGCCTGACTAATTGTATAATAGCAGTAAAAGACAGATTTCCGTTTCACTCGTGAAAAA